ACATTTAGAAGCGATTACACTCATTCATCCAATAATTGTTATTATTGTTGCTCGTTAACAACAAACAGAAAAACAAGCAAACAGACCCCCCCCCCGCACATACCCCCTTCAGAATAAAGGAAGATACGAAATTCAAAGCAAAAATAAATAAATAAAATAAAAAAATATAAATAAATCAAAGTAATTTAGACAGAGTACGCCAATCCAATCCAATGTGTTGGCAGGCCCAGACAAGGTCAACCTAACCGACACTTCTTTGATCCACCTCGCACACGTAGGTGGAGCTGAGGATAAAGAATATTAATCTTCTTGCCAGCAGATCTCTGAGCGCTATCAAGTCTATATTGGCAGCAGAAAAATTAAGCGGAGAGGGTAACACACCAAAGCAGAATAAACATTAGGGACAAGACTCCTCCCAGTTGCCTTAGATAATGTGTGGAAGACCTCAGACCAGAATCTATTCAAAGAGGGACAGCCTCAAAACATATGACATCGATCACACATGGGAGACACCGTCTCAAACATTTTTGCAAACTGAGCTTTGGTGTAGTGAGCTGGGTGCAGAATGGAGTGAATCCCTGTTTAGTGCAAATAGATGGTCCTGTGTACCCTCTGTAAGATCTCCCCCACACATCACTTGGAATTATCTCACCCAAATCTGTCTCCCAAGTAGTTTTGAGGACATTAGAGGAGCCCGAACAGAGGTTGTGTATGACTGAATAAATAATCAGCCCCTTCAGTGTTTGGAGAGGTTCCGAAGAGATATCATGAGCTGAAACACTACTTCAACTAGTTGTTGAAAAGATGCAAAAACAGCATACACATACAGATCCCTCAGTTTTTACACCTAACCTAGCCCCGATAGAAAAGGCACTATCCAGTAATGATGGGAAAAAGATATCATATATAATATATATATATAAGACGCAACATATATATATATTGCCTCTAATGATGCCCTAGTAGAGAGTGTCTGTAAGCCAAAGTGGCGTCTAGAGATAACTAGAGATAGAAGAAAGAAGAGATGAGTGCAATAAGGATTGCAATGTTACCGGATGAGCAGAGTTTAAGGATATATATTTATATATATATACTTATTGGGCCTTGAGGCTTAAGCCCAGGTTGGATAGGGCCAATTGCACACTGCGTTCTAAACCAAAGGAGGGTGAGCCACCACGTCCGATGGTCATCAGGGTTACCCTATTCCAGTATATGTATATATACACTGTACCAGAGTCTGTAACAACTCAACACTGCACAACACGGTGCTCGGCTGAGCTTCCATGTTAGTGTCTTACATACATGTCTGGACAGGATCCTCAAACCGATGATGATGACTGTTCGACATGGTGATGTGCATGTAGCCGGGTATCGGAGGCTTCACCTTGATGAAGGCCGCCTTCTGCTTGGGCACAGTCAGCGTGAAATCTGGGAAATGTGAACCCTTTGTCCGTTGTATAGCAGGGGGGATGCCTCTCCAGCGGCATAAGATGATCTTAACTTGGTTAGCTCCTAAGTTCTTTCTTGACCTCCTCCGATATTATGGATTGGAATTTTGTGACTCAACCTGTAGATCATTCATCATGACCTTAATGCAGCGTAGCATATCTTCATTGGCATCTGGCTTCACCGGGGACTCAAGTGGCGGCCTACTGTGACCAGGCCTTCAAGACTCACTATTGATTTTGCTTTGGCCCCAACAATGTGTAATATAGTAAAAGCAGAGAACGGAAAACTCATAATGGAAATGAACAGTGGACAGACATGAGAAGTTAATAAAGTTATATGTCAACACATTCCCACAGAGCTACCGTAAAACACGTCCTACATCGTCCGCACTCCCACCCCTCTTTATCTTATCTTCATCTAACCCAGCAGGTTATGATTTCACCCCCGTCCAGCAGTTAGTTGGTCAGTTTTAATGTCTTTGTTTAACATTGTCACTGATTCTCAGAGACTGATATGAATGAGTGTGTGTGATTGAGGTGGAGGAATGAGCTCTACTGCTAAAGATGTTTCAACAAATGTTTTAGCAGCATCAGTTTTTCAGACATGAAGTGATGACCCCTCCCCCCGTGTTTTCAGTAGAAACTGTCGACAGAGGAGGGGTTAGTAAAATGCTGCGCTAATTCTACAGACAGATTAAAATCTGAAGCTACAGCTAGTTAATGAGGCCTGAGAGACAGACAGAGAGAGACAGACAGAGAGAGACATAGAGACAGAGACATAGAGACATAGAGACAGACAGAGAGACAGAGAGAGACAGAGAGAGACATAGAGACAGACAGAGAGAGACAGAGACA